GGCAACCAACCGACAGGCACGAAAGATAACTAACTATGTGCACTTTGTGTAGTCTACCTACACAACGAAATAATTGAATTTTCCAAAAACATTTTTTTTTCTTCTCCTTCTTTGGCCTCTTGTCTTTCTTCTCGATAGTGATGAAATAGCTGCGAGTTATATAGCAATTATATAGCAACAATATACTTTGTAGTCAAGAGTTAATTTTTTGAATGTGGATTTGACTTTCCTTTCGGACAGCCTCTCGATTTTCTCCCCCATGGGAAGTTTAACCTTTCCAGTTTGCCCCCCTCTCTTCCCCCAGCTGTAAGGTACTTTGGGTATTTCGGTGACTATTGCAGATATTAACCCATCAATACGTGGGTTGGACCAACGTCATCCTCCTGGTACCAGCCACGAGTTCCTTTCCCTTTTTAACCTCTATCCCTCAAATTTGGTTTAGGGTGCTTCATCAATTCTTCACTTGATATTTTTCTTGGATTATTATTATTATTATTATTACTTTTCTTTTATCTATTGCCTACCAATATCTGGCTCTTTACTTGAAGGTTGAAACTACTATCGATCAGTAAGAGAACCTCTTCCAGCATTCATTCTTCAGGAAGGGAGTAACATGCTAAACCGTCCTTACCTGTTTTAATTACAGACATTATCCACTATCCTTTTTTTTTCTCATTACTATTACTATTTTATTCCCTTCCCAAGAATCCAAGGGCATCAATCCACCTGCCACTTATCTGGTTGTCTGTGCACTAAAACGATAGGCTTTCCATAATCCCATAAGCACTCTGAAGCCACCCAGTAACTATTTCGGAGCCTTGCAACGCTATCTCCACTACCGACTCCCCCCTTAAAAAAAACGGAGGCTTCTTAGCCTGACACACAGCCGCGCTTGCATAACACCGTCCAGGAATGTGTCGTCGCTGCGACATTCAAGTCTGAACACCTCCAACACCGTGCGGACTCGCGCTCTCGTGTTTCTTTGAACGCTATTACCACTTCTTCGGGAAACCCGTCAAGCGGACGCAAATTCTTTGTTCTTCCCTGTCCCTGTTCCTGTTCCCTTTATTTTTATTCTTTTTTAGCATCTTCATTATCGCTTTGGGATTAGCTAGCAAATTCGCCGACACCTAGTCGTCCCCTTGGTACGCCGACCGCCCTCTTCAACACCGCTCAGACACACTAATCGAGAATCTTAGGCGAGCGTCTGTTTTTTTTTGGACCACCTCTGTCACCACATTTAAGTCACCAGGAGCAACAGTTCGCATCGCTGTTCGGTCAAAATTGTCGTGGGAGGGGATAAGTAACAACCGGAGGGGGAGTCTCCATCTAACATGAGGGGCGGCGCAATCTGGTATGTGTGTGGTGACTTTATTTTTTTTTCTTATTCGAGTCAAATCCTCAATCGACTGTTCACTATCTGCTCCCCTCAAGAGAGCTCATTTGCCCTGAGACTGCTGGCTCTGCTTAGGGGAATGGTGTTTCAATGCTCTTCCCTGGGGTGTAGTAGCTTTATCCACCAACAGATCGCTACCCATGATTTTGTATCCAGTGCACCGTCTCCCCTGCCGTGATCCTCTCAGGAACGCGTTTTGAACTTCCATCTAGCTAACCACTATGCGACTCTACATTAGAACTATCGCCCCGACATATCCTTACAGAAAAGCAACAGCCCCCTTCAACTGTGCTCCGCGAGTCCAATATATCCGGAAATATTGGCCAAGGCTGGTCCGGTTCCAATCATTTCCTTATCAATATTCATACACCACTCAAATATCGGGTATTCGCATTTCTTTTGCCAAGGGAGCGCTAGGATATTTATGCTCCCCGAGACCAATTCTTCGTGGCTCTCTATTTGAAAAGGAGTAAGTTCTAGAATCAGGAGCTTTGCCGGGAGCCGGATCATATCCAAATTTAGCACCATCCATGAGACCTTATGGATGCTAACCTGTTTTCGCCCCTAGGTCCTTTTTCATCGTCCACTTGGTGTCGCAGCCGATCCTTGACGTACTATTATTTTTCCTCAGCCCAGACCGCGTTCCCGGTTCAACTTTTCAGGGTTACCTGCTGACCCGCGATTGACACCTAAGATGCCATCGAGACAGTCCACTGTTCCGAATTTAGATCTTAGCACTTCCACTCTGCAGGCGGATGCGAAGATCTCGTCTCCACTGACGCCCGGTGCCCAAAGCTCCGAGGGGCCAAGTCCCCTGACACCCCGTTCCCCCAAGTCATCATCGAGCTCGCCCTTTTTCAAAGGGGCCACTATCAGACCCGTCACACAAGATTCAAACAGCAAGTCGAGTAGCCCTACGTTCCCAGCAACCTCTCCGGGTATTGCCCCTGCAGAACCAGCTACTCCGGGTATCACGGCTATACCCCAGTATCCTCCTTCCCCGAAAGACACCCCTAAGCACACGCGTGATCAGTCACGCTCTTTCTTTGCGAACCTCAAAGCACCAAAGTCATCACATAGGGCCCAACGTTCGGATAGCTCAGGGAATTCGGGCGAAAAGCCCAAGAGCCGCGGTAGTTCCAGAGATCGCAAGACTCAGATCTCAACAAAACTCTACGAATCAACTCCTGATCTGCCAGGCGCTATTGAGCGGGCAGCTCAAGAAGAGAATCGTAAGTGAATACGTCCAGCCATACATCTGTCTCGTGCGCTGACAAGCCCATTCAATAGGTGGTGATCGTGCTGAGGAGAAGTGTCCCCAACCAGCAGAGGTGAAGAAGGTGGGTACGGAGTCGGACGCCTTTAATCTAGCCAAGAAGAACAAGCCACGCTTCGCAAACCTTCTCTCTCGCTCCCGCTCGATCAGGCTGGACGACTCGTCTATGAACAGGATAGCACATCGGCGCCCATCCACTAGCCTGATGAGGCTGGAAGAAAACACCCGGAGGGAGGTGCAAGAGCCCCCGAAGACTGCCCCACGTCATGAGCGCAATATCAGGACGGCCGGGAATCCTACGGCTCGCAGTTATCCCGCCGACCGACCCACAGAATATCATAACGGCCACATGCGTAAAGATAAATACTATGCTGGATCGATGGTTCCGTCCGCCTCACTAAGCCAGGTGTCAGGCGCATCCGCTGCGCTATTCAATAACCTCAAACAACAGTCAAGTGGTGCCGCTGATCGTATCGGCAAGGCTGGGAAGGGTTTCTTCGGCAAGATTACCAGGAGCGGGAGCACAAACGAGCGGGAGCTCGTGAATGACGATAATTATGTTTGCTCAGTCATCAATCTGCCACTCATACAACAGGCAAGGCGGACTCGTATCGCAAAGCGACTTGAAGATTGTAGAGACAAAACCGAGTTCTGGATGCCTGCTCTGCCTTACCGCTGTGTCGAGTAAGCAATATCATGAACCTGCATGTTGGAATGGATGTGCTAACGACGTGCTAGCTACCTCAATTTCAAGGGATGTGAAGAAGAGGGACTCTACCGAGTCCCGGGAAGTGGGAAAGAGGTGAAACACTGGCAAAGACGTTTCGATACAGGTACCTCTCTATTGCTAACTCTGGTTCTCTCTGATCGAGTCTGACGTTTCCATTCAGAACTTGACATCAACCTTTTCGATGTGCCAGACCTCTATGATATTAACACTATTGGCTCGATGTTCAAGGCCTGGCTTCGTGAATTGCCAGATGAGCTCTTCCCCAAGGAGACACAAGCCTTAATCGCTGAGAAATGCGAGGGTGCAACGACCGCGCCACAAATGCTGAAAGATGAACTTTCCAAGTTACCGCCTTATAACTATTACCTTCTTTTCGCCATCACCTGTCACCTAAACCTCCTGCACTCCTATGTTGACCAGAACAAAATGGACTACCGCAACCTTTGCATTTGCTTCCAGCCTTGCATGAAGATTGATGCGTTCTGCTTCCACTTCCTGGTCTGCGACTGGAAGAACTGCTGGCAAGGCTGCTGGACAGAGAAAGAATATCTTCAAATTGAGAAGGAAATGGACGAAAAGGAAAAGGCGGCCCAGGAGAAGGATAAAGCAGTCCACGATTGTCAGCAAGTCCAACAACCTCAGCAAATACAGCAAATTCAGCAATTTCAGCAACACCAGCAACCTCATCAAACTCAAGAGAGCCACGAGAGGGCTGTCTCTTCCGGTAGCAGCCAACCTGGACAGGAAGAAGAGCCACCGCGCCCCGAAGTACCGAAGAACCGCAAGCAGAGACCAAAGAACATTGAGACCTCGCATACGAGAAGCATATCACAGCTTCCCGAACTCGGCCCCCCACTTTCCCCGATTCAGATCTAAACAACATTCCATATAGAGCTCTAACCAGCGATATTCCAATACGCTGGTATCCCCAACATCCCATTTCCTTGCCCGACTAGGCTGGCCTACATGCTCGAAATTCTACTTCACCATGTGTAGGGCCTGGGACTGGATCCGCAGGTCGTGCACGATGAGTGAGATTATACCTTTCGATTGTGATCCGGCTCATACACCATTTTCCAATCTCTTGCTCTAGACGTTGGCGCATACATGAACTTATAGCTTTTCATCTTTATGCCTTCACCAGTTTTAGTTCCGCGACGACTTTCCAGCTATATCGGGCCACCATCAGACTGCATGCCTGGCGCCTTGGAGTCGGTTCAGTTCAGACCTACATGACGCTTTGACTTTTGTTGTACAAATCTTTCTCTTCGTTTTCTCTTTCCGTCGTTGCTCGATCACATTTCCACTTCTTGGCACCGTTGGCGACATATCACCTTTATAGCCTTTTCTTGTTCTTCTGGAGAAATCATATGCATGTTCTTTCCTTATCTCATTTCCTACAGGCTTATTCATCTATTGATTCCCCACTTGAGCTGTGTTACGGTGCGTTTCCCCCGAATTTGGCGACTCATGACACTTTTTGGTCCTTGCTTTGTACTATTTCTCAATTCTTTGGCGTATATTGGTACATAGCTGTAAGATAGACCAATGACAGGCGATGCATCAATTTGAAGAGAAATTGGAATTAGTATTATATGGCTGGATGGTCTATTCGTATTTGAAAATAAAGTATAGAGGCGTATCTACAAGCGAAACAGTAGTACAGATGAAGTCAAGTAGTACCCCCGGTTATGGTGCGGACCCCATAGAAGATCGAGAGATAAGACAAATACTTAAAGGGGGTAGTAAAATGTGATATTGCTTTTCGAGCCCGGCGAGACGAACAAGTCCCAAACCAAAGGCAACATTGACAGACATCCAAGCCCAGCGACTCCAAACCGAACGCCGTAACATTTGAGCCCCAGGTGAAAGAACGAAAAATTAAAACCAAGGCAAGATCCGCAGAAACTTGTTATACGGCCTCGACTCTTGACAAAAATCGTTATCAGACACAACAACGACACACACAGCACATATTACACATCATCGGCTTTTTGTTTTTTAACCACCACCCGACTTCCGGCTCTTGCGCTCATTCGCTCTCATTTTCCTCTCGTTGCGGCGTATCCTGTCTTTGCGTTCGGCGCGAGATAGTCCACGGATCGAGCTTCCCTTAGCGGCCGCTTCTTCTTCCTTCTTCCAATCCTTCTCGTTCACCTCAACAAGCCATTCATCATCGGACTTGTTCTTGCCCTTGTAACCCCAGCGAGGAACCCACTCGCCCTTCTCCTCATCGTACACCAACTTCTTGCGACGCTCCTTGTCGGCCAATGCCGCGCCAGGCCGGCTGCTGTATTTGCCAATACCCTTCTTGCGGGCGAACAGCTCCCACTTGGTCGGGGGCTTGGGGGTGGGAAGGGGCTTGAAGCGAGGGAGGACAGTGGTGGGAGGTGGCAGAGTCAGGAGGACACCCTGTTGGGAGGAGGTGATGGGGCAGGTGGTCAGGAGCTGGTTGAGAAGAGACTGGGTGCCATCCCGGGCTGTGGCCTTGAGACTGACGTCCAAGGGTTCGGAGCGGGAGATCTCGAGAGGGTTGGGGTCGTTCGCAAGCAGATGACCGAGGTCGAATGTGTAAGGGGTAGGCTTGGAGACAGTCACGGGGCTAATAGCATGATCATTGAAGAATTAGTATGTGTATTTGTTCAAGTTCAACGGAGTTTATATAGATAGATGATAATCTTTCCCCACGCAAATGGGGAGGTGGATTCGACTTACAGTCTCTCCGGCTTGGGCTTGGAGTCGGTAGACGCCATGTTGTACTTCTGTCGCGCAACTGGCGAACAAGATACTCTGGGAATTGAGGTTGAGAGTATCACACAGGGACTCCGAAAAAAGAATGGAGAACTGGGCGCAAAGGAAACAAGTGATTTGACCGATCGGGTAAAGAGGAAAAAAAAAGTTCGGGAGATAAAATCGCCATGCTGCTTTTAGGCCTGTCACACCGCCTTCTGATCCAGCGGCACCGACACTAGTCCCAAAGGGGCAAGGGAGGAGGAATCTGAGTCGAGGCTCCAAAATGTGCTCCGAATTTCAATCCATTCCATGTCTTTGGGCGACTCCTCCTCCGCGCAATCCTCCGCTCCCACCCCCCATCCCCGCCGCAATCAATCCCAATTGACCGATTAGGACGCTGGCCACAGCGCCAGTGTGTATCGCAGCGCGATGGTTTCCTCCTTCTGCTGGAGCTGCCTTACGCGGCTTCCTACCGCTCCCCGAGCTATCCTCCCGCCGACATTAACAGCACAGCGAGTAGCAGCATTCCACTCGTCAACGCCGCTCCTCGCGGGAGCTAAGAAGAAGGGCGATTTACCGGTTGCCAAGTACCGTCAAGCTAAATCCGCCAAAATGAAGAAGAAGAAGCCCGTCGAGAGGACGCGTCCTCCGGCTGTCGGAGAACGCAGAGCGCTCCGCAAACGCATCGTCCTCAGCAACCCTAACGCTCTTGAAATCGAAGGCATGCAGGATCTCTCTGCCGAAAACATGGTGGATGCGCGCCTTCGTGGCTCCATCCTGGGTCTTCCTGTGCCCATGCTCGATCAATTGAGGGCTGTCCAGGCCTTCAAGCCCAAGCAGGGCTGGTCTATATTCCGTCGGCCGGGAACGGTGGTGAGGCGTGAGACGCTCGAGCTGGGAAGACTCATTGATGGTATCTCCGCTGAGGAGGGTGAGAACAAGGGAAAGGTCGTCAGGAAGATCATCACCGGTGTGAAGGGCTCCGGAAAGTCCGTCCACATGCTGCAGGCCATGTCTATGGCTTTCACCAAGGAGTGGGTTGTGATCACGGTTCCTGAAGGTGAGACCGTCACTCATGCACTGATAAGCAACTACGCAAACAATACTAACAACTTCCCTAGCCCAGGATCTCGTCATTGCCAACACCGCCTACGCACCCCTCTCCGATGAGAACCCGAACGTCTACGTCCAGAACGATGCCACCGCCGCTCTCCTGTCTCGCATCGTCACCGCAAACCAGAAGGTTCTGTCCAAGTTGACCGTCTCCCAGCCCCATCCCTCTCTGAAGACGGCTGTCAAGCCCGGCATGACCCTCGAGGCTCTCGCCAAGCCCGGTATCCAGGACCCCGCTGTCGCATGGAGCGTCTTCCAGGCCCTGTGGACCGAACTCACCGCCACCGCCCCGGCCGCCGGCTTCGAGAAGGGCTTCAAGCCCCGTCCTCCCATGCTCGTGACCCTGGACAACCTGGCCCACTGGATGAAGGAGACCAAGTACAACAACATCGACTGCAAGCCCATCCACGCCCATGACCTCGTCTACGTCCAGCACTTCCTCTCCCTCCTGAAGCCCAGCACCGAGGCCGGCAAGCCCTCCCTCCCCAACGGCGGTGTCATCCTCTACGCCACCTCCGGCTCCAACAGCCCCACCATCTACGGCTTCGAAGTCGCTCTCCAGCAGCTCGCCGCCCGCCAGGCCGGCATCAAGCCCTCCTCTCCGGAATTCCCTCAACCCGACCCCTACCTCAACGCAGACAAGCGCGTCCTCGCCGTCTTCAACGACTCCGCTTCTACCAAGTCCCCCGCCTCCAAGGACGGCTCTCTCGAGATCCAGACCATCGGCGGTCTCACTCGTGACGAGGCCCAGGGCTTCATGGAATACTTCGCCCGCAGCGGTCTCCTCCGTGAGAACATCACCGACGCCTGGGTTGGCGAGAAGTGGAGTCTGGCCGGTGGAGGCGTTATCGGTGAGCTCGAGAAGCTCGGTAGACGGTTGAGAGTCATTGCTTAATGGTCTATCTGTCTGTCTGATTTCATCTCCCTTCCCATGGCGTGCATTAGAGACTCTGGATGTGTATGTAAAGATTATACTGGCCTGCCATGTTGCTTCTATATTGTTTCCCATTTCTCTTTCTTCTCTTTACCCTGTGACCTCCATCCTGCTGTGCCAATGGATGGATTCGAGACATCTATCTATGCCTCTGTATTGTATTTTATCTTACTATCTTGATCATTTTGGGCTTCTTGCGCGTTCTTCTTCGTCCCTCTGTTCTGTTCTGTCTGTATGCATATAATGAAATCTCGAAAATATGTGCTACTCTCCCTTAAGCTGTCTAAGTGGTGTACCCGTCTTAGGTTGTTCGGTATGTTATCTCGGCTATTCTTTTATGGATATATAAGGCTGTTCAGAAAAGTGTGCATCGTATGTGCATAGTATACTATAACACTATAACAAGAGGCGGGATTGAAGATAATCGATAGTAATGAAGAAGAACTGCCACTGTCCAATGTGGAGAGAGTAATCAAGAAATAAAAACAGATCACACGCCAAGTAAACGAAGCAATTCGAAGATTAGTGTAGCGGGATGGCCAACAGGCCAAACATCATCTGATCATGGCATAAAGTGCATTGATAGATAAAGAATATTAACAAAACAGACTATATCACCAAGATCCTATCTGTATCCTTTGTTATGATGGGTTCGCTTCTTTATTCTGTCACGTACTTTCAGGTCGCTTGTTTCTTGTTAGGTGGGTGGTGGTGGCCTATATTTTTCATCGAGATGAGGCCCGCCACAGTTGCAAGGTCCTCCGAGAGCACGCTCCAGAGTGCTAGTGGAGACACCCGTATCGAGAGTGTGAAAATACGGGATGCGGATCTCATCACCTTTCTTGATGTCTTTGAATGACCACAAGATGATCAAATTAGGGTTCTCGTCGCCGTAGTAGGCCCAGCTGGCGTTGTACTTCGTAGGACAGGCATGGTTGAACAGACTGTGTCCAGGATATAAATATAGTTTGGAGAAAGTGGGCCAAAAATTTGGTAAATTATCAGTCGTCAGGTCAGCTTCCAGTTTTGGAAAGGGTTTACTCTTGATAATGTTCGTCTTTTGGAGACGCTTACCCGCGCAGGGGATGGCGTTGACAGTGAGCTTCTTCAGGATGAGTTGGATGACCCAGGTGTCGAAGCTAAGGTCGCGGAAGATGTCGACGCCGAGTTGTAAGAGGATATTAAAGGGGACATGGACGTTGGCGGTCAGGCTGAAGGGAAACCTTCGATTGGTCCAGTTATGGGGGGTTTCAAGCGCGACAAGCTCGTCGATTTCGTGCGCCATGAGGTTGGGATCTTGGGTTTCTCTTCGGTGAAGGGTGATGTCGAATACTTCACGCAGGAGGAGACTCAGTAAAGTCGCCTGTGCTTCAAACGAGCACTCGTAACGTGGTAGTTTGTTGAGGTTTACGACTTTTACAGGCCGCATGGAGTCGTGTAGCCATTCCCAGTCTTCACCACAGACACGATAGTGATACCGTGCTCGAGCATTCTCAGCGCAAGTTGGATCGTCATCGTTTAGCGCAGGGCAGAATGGGATGGGGACAGGCTTTGTGATACATTTGCATGCTTCACGGACATTCCCTTGTCCGAATTCACGAGTGTATTCCTCCAGATGCTCGGCGGCCAGGGTTCTCCGGCAATTGTCACACTTTAATGGTACCACTTTGATGGGTAGCTTTGGCAGCTCGAGATGGCCTCTGATTGGGGGATTTTCGACAAAGATGACCTCATTCTTTGCAATATCCTCTGTCGCAACCACTTTCAGTTGTGTGTTACCTTGATCGTTGCTGGCGGCAATCCTGCACTTCTTCCAAGGGAGGCTTTCATTCTGGTTGAAAAAGACATCTGTTGCCTTCTCCGTAAAGGCGACTGCAGCACGATCGATGTCGTCTGCGTCATGGGGATATATCCTGTCTCCTGAAGTGTGTCCGGCTCGTGATTCGTAATAATAGTACTCAGTATTTGCCTTGGCCGTCTTGGCTCTGTCAGCAACGGATTCCATGACTTTGGCGCGCTCTTGAAATGGCATCAAGTCACGGTCCGCATTTACTGTCCTTGCTCTAAGAAGACGTCCCCTTGTTTTATAGTCGTCCCAACACTGGAGCGCCATGAGACTAAGAGCAAGAACGTGCTGGGTGGCATTTCGGATAGTGGGTACGAAGAAATTAACCCCATTGAACCTGCGAAACAGTGTAGCTTCCGCAGATAAATTACCCGTGATAGGATCTCTAGGTTGAACCATAATATGCTGTTCCAGAGCGTGCCATATCCGCGTATAGAGCCCAGGCTGGAGACTTCGCCGGTGTGCATCATAAAGAACGTCACAGAGATATTCTGCTCGATAAGCATCCCCGATGGCAAGGTCAAAAAACGCTTGTTGGTAATGGCAGTAAGCCCGGCTCAACCAATAAGCTGGGTTATATGGGCTGGCAAGAATAGCACAAGTGTACATATCCAATGCACCTATACCATCATCGTCGCTGATCTCGATAGTGTACTTTCGCGCGTCATCTCTGTGGACACCCCATTGCGACAGATCACTTCGAGGCAGGACACGATACTGATGATACACTTTGCGTTTATAGTCCTGAAGTCTCCGGCCTAATACGGGAACCGTCCCTTCAGTTGAGAGGTTTCGGCTCCCTAGGGCGGCTCTTAACTGGAAGGCCTTCATGTCCCTGATAAGCTGGCCGTCCACCTCATTAAGATCTTCCGTGGCTTCCCCAAGATCAAGACCCTGCCCTTCAAAGATGTCGCGGAATGACCAGACCCTGTTGTTCAGCCCGGAATTGGTCCATTCCCTTTGCCAATCTGCAGGATTAATTGGCGTTAGGAAACTTTCGTCGTGCATCAAGTGGTCATAGACATTCCTTGCGAGCGCATGTGCTGCGGGATTGTCGCCCGCATCCCTGGGCTGGGTATAACGGGGCTGCTCTCCTAAGCTCTCTCCAAGTACAGTGTCCGGGAGGGACCAGAAACGATGCGCGATCCTTGCATCTTCTCTGTTCACATGCGGTGCCCATTTTGTTTGGTCAAAGAGATCAGGCCTTGGGGGAAAGGCAAATAGGTCAAAGTCATCGTTATCATCAT